TCTCCAAAACACTTCCCAGAATTAAAAAGCAACAGTAAAGAGGGCTCTTTAAAATTAGTTAGTGTTTGGGGTGACACAAAAGTTACAAAAGAAAAATGAAACCCAAAAGCAAGACAAACTATGAACTGTCAGAAAAAGCTCTTGTCACTGAAATCTGAACAGCAAAAGCAACTCCTTAGCTGGATGGATGGCAAAATCCCAGAACTCTACAGCATGTAAAAACCAGACTGGATAAATAAGTTTTTTTCATGTGCTACATTTATGTTAAGGATCAAAAGAATCCCACAAGCGTACTCTGGAAAGCAGTGTTCATATCTAATTCCCAGAATACTATTAATATCTATGCTTGCTCTCTAATTTTATTTCAACATTTTAAGTCTTAGATTCAGAAAGTCCTACCTAGGGACCAATACATGTAAAGAGAGAAAAATGCCTCTGAACAAGGACTGTTTCCAATCACCCTCTAAATAAAAAAAAGAGAGAGATAAGTCAGCTTGCACAGACACAGACACAGACACAGCCCAGGGACAGTGCTTATCCCAAGCTAAGCCCCCCCCCCAATTTAATGCAGACATCAATTTATTACTTAGCTGTGTTGATTTTTATATTCCTTAAATTTTATGATGCCAGGAGCAGGGCCAACAAAAGATAGGGCAGAAATCTAGCAATTGCCTCTGTAATTTCATCTGTGGGCTCCTTTCATGAGGAAGGGATGCCCAATTTTGATCTCCAAGTAATGTCACAGCAATAAAACCAAACTCACTCTCCTCCCTACACACACCCCCTACACTGCCTTGATGAAATACAGAATGAGTTCATTACTGATCCTAAGAGATCACTTCCTCAGCCATCTTTTCCTCGGAGCTGCCAATCAGCGGGTCGACAGAAAGACACAGAGGGAGCTCTAAGTGGGGGATACACACTTTACTCCCTTCCAGTCCCTTTCTTCTGAAAACTTGGTCTGCTCCAAAACAAAGGGGAGAAGACATGGACCGGCCCTGTGAGAGGTTTCCCAAGGCCTGCACTTTGCTGACATGTGGGGAGTTATGATGCTATAAGAGCAGCCCTGATGACAGCCATACTATCCCACACTGGTCCTAGGACGTCCAGAGCAATCTAAGGGATGATGATAAACTTCATGTGCTGTGCGAGGGGAGAGGACCCCGCCTGACACACAGAGCCACCAGGCACAGGAGAGAAACAATATAAAAGTGATTTAACTGTGGGATCCCTTCCAGAAGGCTTAATTATCTATTGTATGACCACATTCCCGTTATTCGGCAGTCTCCCGTCTCCAACTTCGGTCCAGCTACACTATTTGTCTGGAAGAAATTCAGGGAAAACTCCAAACTAGCCAGATCAGAGAGGACTCAGCGAAATAGGGAATGGCAGTTATGTAAGCAAGAAGTTCCCTAGGCTGGAAAATTCCTTGGTGGTCTGCTAACTTTCAGGACCGTCGAAGACCGTTGAGTCCAACGCTTAAACATCCACGTCGACAGCATCCTGATGCTTTATATGACGTGGTGCCCCTTCATCAATCCTGCACATGTACCATCCCTCCCAACTAGCTATTTTTCTTCGATGGCGTGTCATGAGACAATAAAGGTCACCTTCAGTTCTTAATTTCTGGACATTCATAAATCAGTTTTCTACACTCTAGCCTTAAATGCTTATTTGTTTTGGATGATCAGAAGATGAATTATTCCTAAGAGTGTCATAGTGCATGAGATAAATATTTAACAAAATACCCTGAAGTCTTCAAATGAATGGCTGTATGTCTAGGATACCACTGTCAATTCAATTTTTTTTCAATTAGACAAATTTGGTGTTTGACATCGAGAAGGTGTAACAACTAGTTGACAGAGTAGAATTTTCACTTTTTAACTGGCTGCCTGACACAAGGAATAGGCAGCTAATAATTCTAATGCAAAACTGCCCCACAGTCAGAAATGCACACACACATGGCTGGAATAAATATGAGAAACTCCCCTTGTTAATATCATGTTTATGCCCCTCACTGCAGACTGTAGATTAACTACATGTTCTTTTATTTTAATGTGTAAAAATGGCATTTGAACGCCTTGAAGTTTGGAGCCAAGAGCACTGCCTGAATGTTCATTTTCTCCAGAGCGCTTCGTAATTTACCACCACCATTGTCCCACCACTTTGACTTCCACCTGAATGTCCTTTCCAGTTGCCTTGGCTGGGTCTCAACTTTTAAAAAGAGCCAATGAAAAAAGCAAAACTATTTTTACAAATGTATCTGTTAGAGAGGAAAATGCGCTCTGTGACTGCTTCATGACTATATTCTAAAATTGAATTGCAACCTTCTGGAGGAGAAATATCTGGTCATTCTGGCCAACTTCTACTCCATACTTAGTCCTGAAATCTAAGCAAAGGAGGCTTCTGAGAAATAACTCGCTAGTTAAGATAAAATAGACAGAAAAGGGGCTAGGCTATAAGCCTTCTGAAGGCAGGCTCTGAGACTTTCTCCTCATTATCCTCTCATCACCTTGCCCAGTGCCTTGTGTATGGAAGCTCAATAAAAGCTTGTTGAATAAAGGAATTTGTCTAGAGCCTAATTTCAAAACAAACAAACAAACAAACCTCCCCCTTCCTCTCCTTCCACAACAACTACCATACAGACCAATGTCATTAAGATGATCAAATATATGAAAGCCCTGTTTTGCTGGAAGAAGAATGGGACTGGGGTGGGGGGTAGAGGAGAAAAACAGAGTAAAATTAATCTAAAACACAAGGGAGGCTCTGGGTACAGACAAGTGCTGACAGTGAGTGAACGAGACAAGCAGCTCCACTTTAGACATCCGTGTTTCCAAAATATATGTTAAAATCAAAATTAAAAACCCTCATTGTAACATCAACACCTCTCTGAACAATGCTGCTCACACTCCTCTGTAAAACCTTCTCGGTTCTGGCCAACAGCTGGCAAGCTGATCCCTGCAATTTTCCCTTTGCAGAAATAGCTTTGTGCGGGAAGAACTGACCCTCGTGGGTTAATAAGACCAAACCGCCGCCAAACTTGGGAGGCTGAAACGGAGGGGACATTGTTGTGTTAAGTACTTTACAACAACTGTTTCTTCTCCTCTTGACACAGCCTGACTTCCTTAAAGAAGATCTGACTGGCCAGACAGCTGTGTTGACCCTTAAGCCTTCTTTGATTCCTGATTTTTTTTTTCACAAACAGAATAGAAATTCACAACCCAAATCCTTTCCTAAGCTCCCATACTTTTGAATTTGCTAGTGTCGTGCCTGAAGGATGTGGACATTTCAGTAATCTATAAGCACAAAGATAAAGGTTGGGTCGGCACAATCCCAAAACCTTTAGACGAAAAGCAAGAGAGGGAAACAAAACAATACAAACAAAAAAAGCGAGCAATCAACCAGAAGCTTTATCCAAAGGCGGTACTTGAAGTTGTGTGCGCACAATCTGTTTAATTACCTAAAAATTGAACTTTTCACTCATACACTAGAGCAACAGACAATCAAGAACACATACAGGCATATCTTCTTTAAAAAATAATGTTAAACCGTAATTACCACTTCAGGAAACAACCATGCATTCTCACCTCTTTATATATTTCTGTACTTCTCAACTCATCCAAAATCAAACACGTATTTTTTTTAGTGCTGGAAAATGGAAAGTTATCTTTTCAAAACAAAGCAAAATGCCCAGTACTCTATCCACATACGGGTAAGATTCAAGTATATTATGGCTAAGGAGGGCGAGGAGCAGAAACAATTTTTGTGTGTGGTCACTGGATCTAATTGCTTTGTCAGTTTCTAGTAAACCTCACAGCCCAGGCAAATCAGAAAAGAAGACATTTCTGTTCCCTCTCAGGGCTTTTTTGTTACATTGAGATTTCTCCTGCACACCCCCTTGCATTGTGTGTTTTTAATAACATGATAGGAACTGTTCTTCACGAGCATTAACCCTCCCTTGATTATCTTTATATAGTGCTGTCCCTTTTATTTAGCACTGACAAATGCGAAATTTTCCTGCGCGTGCTCCGAGGGCACTCCGTCACATATAGCAGTCCATTTTGACCAGGAAAAGCAGCCCACCCTCCTTAGCGCCACTAAGCCACTCCCGGGTAGCCTGGAGAGAACCAGGAAATATTTTCAAACTCCCACAATCACACCTCCACCCCCATCTCACTCAGGCTTTAGGCAATACAAAGATCTAGAATCGAAATAATCCACTTTCTTAAATACCTGCCTCCTATTTCTCCTCGAAACACACCAGAACGTTCATGTCGACGGGAGGGAACTGAACCTGCCCTGAGGCAGAAATGCATACCCAGACGGGAACGAGGGAGGAGGTGGAGGATGGAGGACCCGGCTTCAACTTTTGGCCTGAATGTCCCTGAGCCCCACGGTTTTGGAGAAACCGGGGAACTAGGTGGGGAGAATATCATGAGAGAAAAAGCAAACAGAGGGTGCGCGCTGCGGAGCTCAGAGCAGCAGCAGCGCCATTTCTGAGCCCAAACTGTCCCGACCCCAGTGGACACAGCCAAGCGAGGAACGAGCACAGGGGGACCCAAGCTGGGCAATCAGAGCCTCAGCGCTCCGCATACGCGCACGGCTGGCGCAGACAGGTGGGTAAGGTGGAGGGGGAACTGGCGAGGAGATGTGAACCACTGGCAGCCCCAAGGACACCCAAGTGAAGAGGGGGAGAGGAGGGACAAGGCTGATGGGGTCGCAGTGTCCTCTGGGAGTGGTCAGGTCGGGAAAACTGGGCGAGCAGCCGTAAGAGGGGAGACATCCCTGGCGCTCCCGCGGGACCCCGGACGTGGTGGCGGGCGCCGGCGCAGTTCTCTGCCGCCCGGCGTATACAAGATGCGGGTGAATGGGCACCTGCGTCTCTGGGCAAGCGGGTGCATCTTGCGCCTTCTAGTAGCACATGGGGATAAAAAAGGGACACAGTCCCCCGCGCCCACTGATGCAGCGTGCGGGGCGCGCTAGGCGGCGCGGGCACTTACTTCTCGTAGTCATACTTGCAGTAGAGCTTCTTGTCCCGGTAGAAGCAGGTGGTCTCCAGGGGCTCTTTGCAGGAGGCGCACTGCACGCACTGCTCATGCCAGAAGCTGTCGTTGAGCCGCAGCAGAAACCTGTCCGAGATGACCCGTTGACAGCCCTCGCAGACAGACTTGGGGCTCACCGCTCTGCCTACGGCAGCAACAGACGTCGGCTGGTGAGCCGCGCCGGCCCGGCATCCCGGCCAAACCCGGGCCGGACCCGCAACGGATCACTCCACACCCACGGATTTCCACCCCCTCGCGCCCCCGACCTGGGGAAGGGCCCCCGCCCCCAAACATCCAAGCCGAGACTTGGAGATCAGAGAAAAATCAAACCAAATGGAGTTTCTAATAAACAAAGACTATGTGGGAAGGTTTAAATTCTACAAGAGGAGGGGGGTACAAATCAGTAAGTGGTCTTTCATTATCAAACCTACCCAGGTACGCACGCAAAGGTGCGCATATCCTGCCAAATTAGCCTGCAAATAAATTTGTGCTCCTAGGTTTATCACGTAATCATTAAATTACTCACTATGCCTGTCTGTATTGTCTATTATTAAAACTGTGAGTGTGTAAAAAGAATTTTCTTTTTTGGTTTGGTTTTGTCTTTCGCTAAAACGCAATTCTGTTCTAATTTTTTACGGAAAACTTTACTTTTTTTTTTTCTTTGCTCTCTAAAAAGTCCTGTGTGTGCAGGAAAATACCGTCTCACCCTAGGCAAACTCAGTATTGTTCTAATCAATGAACCCCAAACTGCTGGGTCTTGGCTGGCGCACAAATTGCAGATGGGTTTTTTCATAATTAAGAAGCATCATAATGGAGAGAAGAAAAAAAATTGAGGAAGGAAGCAGGAGGTGGAGATGCCGCGGAGTGTCCGGCCAGGATTCCGAGAATCAGGCGCGCTCAGCAGCCACGCGTGAGGGCGAAACCGAACCCAAACAGACTCAGCGCAAAAGGGAATCCTCTCTGTCCTAACCTTTGCACGTGTGTCAGTTTTGTTCCTTTAGTTTGTGGGGGCGGGGGCTTCGCCTTTTTTAGGGTGGTGGGGTGCTTTGCCGCCTTTGTTGGCACGTTCCACAGCTATTTAAACAAGGCCATGTCGCCCAGTAACAAAACCTTTGCGCGTGGTGTCCCAAAGGGCCTGACCCTCCCCGGTTGCCCTGCTATGCTCGGGTCGCTTTCCCCTTAGGAGACCCGGCCGCTGGCTCAGGAGCGGGGATGGTCACCTTGGGGCACAGGCAGGGAGAGTTAGAAGTAACGAGATCTCAGTTAAAATATTCCGTATTCTTTCTGCCCTGTCTCGGCATCCAGGGGCAAGACCGGGCGCACGAAGCGGACGTGGGCCGGGCGGGGCGCACTGGACGAGCCGCGAAGCCCGCTCAGCGCAGAAGTTTGAGCGCGCCCTGCGCCAGATCAGGGCCAGATCTGACCCCCTGGCTCTTCCGAGGCTGCACGGAGTCTGGAAGTTTCCAAAAGGGCGGTTGAAAGGGAGGAACGCGGTGCGTGCGATTTCATTCCATCTGGGGGAGTTGGGAGGGATTCCTCCCCGGGTCTGGTTTTTTCAGAAAAACTGTCCCATCCTCCGCCTTCACCCTGCTCTAGCGGTTCCGAGCGAGGGAAAGGGGTAGAAGTGACAAAACGAAAATCCCTCCCTCTAAAAAAAATTTTCTTTGAACACCCATTCACCAAACTTAAAAAGCATAGAGAGAGGGGGTGGGGGTTGGGGAGTGTGGAATCCCTGGCCTCAGTTCCGTTAGACACGAGTGTGGGCTGAGGCCCTGGGCTCGCCGCTCTAACGTGGTCGCGGCGCAGGGACTGGGGAGGCCGAGGGTGGAGAGGGGACCCGCCGGACCCGAGATCTGGCTCCAGTTAATTAAAACCGAGACGAGGGCCCTGCCGAGCGGGCTAATCCCCGCGCTGCGCTGCCCACCGGCCCGGAAAAGCCTCTCCGCCGTACTCTAGGCTGAGACTGCGGCTGGAGTTGGTGGAGCCGAGAAGCCTCCACGAGCTTGGGCGCTCCGGACCTCGGGTTTGTATTGTCGCCACTAGGCCTCCGAAAAGACAGCTGCATTCACGAGACGTCGATCAGCTCTGTGATTAAAAATCTAGCCCTGGGTATTTTTAATCACTTGCCACTCAAACGCCTGCGAGCAATCTCGCCCGCCCCTCGCGGCTTTGGGGAGTTCGGTGACCGGTGCGTGAGGCCTGGAGCAGCTTGCCGGTTTAGGGTAGGAAGGACCCACTGGGACTGATGGATAGACGGGAAGTGGGCTCAACTGAGTGCATGCAGCGGGGCGCTCGCTCCCCTACTAACGACCCGGTCCCAGAGAGGTGGGCTCCAGAGCTGGGGTCTGTCGGAAAGAAGGTGCGCCCGAGGCACACGGCCCGAACACTCACCCAGCAGCGAGGAGAAGGAGGCTGACGTCTCGATGGCGCTTTGGAAGTTCTCCTCCATCTTCAGGCCGTCCAGCATGTTCGAGCTGGGCCGGGAGGATCTGTAGAGGAGAGGAAACGACGCTTCTGGCGTCCGTGCCCTCTGGGACTCGGCTCCCGCAGCCGCCACACTCCTGGGAAAGGACAGAGGGAGTGTCCGGGGTGACCAGAATGAGCTGGGAGGGTAGAGTCCAGCCAAGAGAAATGTGGGGCGGGAGGAGAGAGACGAGTCACAGCGAACTGCTCTGACTGATCTGATTTCACTCGAAGTCAACACGTTAAGTACTTAGGCCTCCGCCCCCCAACTGCGTTTCTCCTTCCTCTGCCCCTCACACTCCCCCCACCCGGTCCCCAGCCCCACGTTCCCCATGCAGAGTCCGACTCCGCCCCAACCTATACTAATGGGGGCCCTAGGGACGCCTCTGCGGGAACACAGCTACTGGAGTAAGACGGAGATAAGAAGAGTGGGTGTTTTCCCTCGCGGGGCCGGGCCCAGGCACGCGGAACTACGCGGTCTATAGCCCGCGCCCGGACCCGCCGCGTTGCGTCGCTCACCTGCCCCGGCCGAGGAGGGGCAGAGTAAGCGACCCGGAGAGCGTCCCGCCCGCTCCCGGACTCAGGGCGCTGGGATCTGCTGGGGGC